CCCTTTAGTCCCCAACACCTGGGGCCATAAGTGGAAACTTTAATGTCTCTAGATGACACTAATTGAAAGAAAGATCCCTAGCTCCGAGTTAATTTCTATGAGGGAAGTTTACTGTAGAGGACCCTTCCAGTGGATAGCTAAAGATCTTCTAGGAGCATCTGGTAAGCCCACTGGGACCCGTCCTCATACTCTCTACACACCTCTTCCACAAAAGAACACAGTGTCAGTTTCTTTTGGAATTGCACCATCATCTACAGCCCTACTAATCCCAGGATCAAGGAAAATTACAGGTAGAATTAGAGTTAGAGGCCCTTTAGTCCCCAACACCTGGGGCCATAAGCGCAAACGTTAATGTCTTTCGATGGCCTCATGAACTGGCGGGGACATCTCACTTCTAGCATGAGGGCCTTCTCGGATTTGATAGATAGTTTGCCTCATAGATATCGTTTGCTTGGTGCCTCCTTTACTTGGTCCAACCATGCCCAAGAACCTATACTCACAAAAATTGATTGTTTTGTCTCTACCTACTGCAAGAAAGGTTCTTAGCAACTACCACAGTTGCCCTCTCCAAGATTGCTTTTAACCATAAACCTATCTTACTAAACAATCAGCCTTCGCCAAGACCTATTATCCCCTTTAGGTTTGAACTACGTTGGCTAGAGGAATTGGGATTCACTGGAGAAAATCGCTTCCAAGGAATTCAGGGCCGCAATCCAAACCTTCTCCACTAAAATAGACTATCGACTTATCAGAAGAAACGAGGCTTTCACAGTCTAAAGCTACTTAGAGAACTACCCCTATAGCAACCATCTCAATACCCTCAAACAAGAGGAAATTTACTAGCACCAAAGATCTATGGTCCATTGGCTGAAGGCAGGTAATCATATCACTGCTTTCTTCCACAACATGGCAAACTCCAGGCACCAAAATAATGTTATTACCCATATTAAGGATGCGGGCCATTCTTTGGCCCAGCCCAATCAGGTCAAAAGACTCATTGTAAGCTGCTCTAGGAGACTTTTCTCCAGAAACTGAAACCCTAGGACTCATTGAGTCACCTTTCTCCATTGTTACCCAACAGGGCTCTCTTGGCTAAAAAGACCTTTCTCTTTGCTCAAAATTAAGAGGGCAGTCTTTAAACTTGCAGAGGACAAGGTCCTTTGTCCAGATGGCATCCCAGTAGGCTTCTTCACCAGATTTTGGGACATGCTTTCCTTAGAAATCCTCCTTTTCTTTGATAAATTCCACTAGAGAGGCATCTTCATAAAGTCTAAACTGCACTCTGATAGCTCTGATAGCCCTAATCCTAATGGTGGAAGGGGCAAACAAACTCAAGGACTTTAGACCAATCAACCTCCTTAACTCAACCTAAAGAATACTCACTCAAGTCATGGCCATTACATTAAAGCTCATTGAAAGGCTCCGAATCCTAGTTAGCTTTCATGACTGGTAGAGAAATCTTGGATGGAGCTCTTGTCATCCACGAGGCCATCCACTCCAAAATCTTTTGGGTAAGAAGGGCCACATGATCAAATTAGGTTCAAAAAAAGCATACGACCACGTGGACTAAGGTTCATTAGATTAGATCCAAGAGAGAATGAGATTTGGGGTGAAATGGAGATCTTGGATAAAAGTTGTATGTCCAACCCTTCTTTCTCTATACCATAAGTACTGGGAATGGGAGTGAGGGGAGCTCCAGAATCGAAAGTGGGAATGCAGAAGCGAGTGAGGCCCGCAAATCTGTAGTTGAGGGAACGTGTTCCGTACATTGTGAGGTAAAGGGATCAAGATCCCTAACATCTAGGAAGCATATTCCATAACTCCCCAGGACCGAAATTGAATGGGATCGTGGTCCGTCCAACGTAGGATCGACGCTCCCAAAGATCACTTATCCATCATATTCTAGTCTAGGACCAAATTCCATTAACAACAAGGTATTCTAGTCTAGGGGCAAATTCCATTAACTATTTGCACAAGTTTCACTCCAAAAAATCACTCATGTGGGTCCATTACACAAATTACACATCTACCTATATTGGTCAGCCTATGTACACACACGTCCTCTTTTGGCACCACTAGGTTGGATTGGATGATTATCCCTCAACTACCGATTGAAGTCACGTTACGATAGATAACATTTCCTTGAAAAGGGAAAGTAAAAAATCAAAAAGTAAAGACATTGCCATATATAACTCTAAGCTCTCCTCCGTCAAAGACTGCTGAACTGCCAAGGGTTCAAGGACATATAGATGACATTTCCAAGAATATATGTTATTCTATCACCCAGCAGGTAAATCCATGAGTTGCTCAATTTGGGTGACCAAGACTCTAGCGATAGAAGTCCTCTGAGGGGCTGACAAGACCCAATGAACACGCCCCAAGGAAGCTAAGCCTATTGATCACTATCATTCCTCAATTAGAACCGCAACTCAACTATCTTTTCAATCTCCTTCCATCTTACCATGCCCTGTCTTATAGCCTTTCTTCAAAACTAGTCAGTAGTCACAAGCAACAGACGTCCCATCTCACATCTCTTGTATGCAGATTATAACATAATCGTCACAAAGCCCAGCTCAACCAACTGGAAAACCTATGGCTCTTCTTGAGATGTTATTATGAGCTACCATCAGGAATGACAGTCAGATCCAATTAAACTAGAATGTTTGGAATGAGGATGCCAAAGCAATAGGTGAGGGCCCTCACTTGATTCCTAGGCCCTAGGCTGTACTTCAGCGAAGTTGTCCACTTACCTCGGTATGCCCCTATGTATAGGAACATCTAGGGAAAACCTTTGGATCCTGTCAAAGAAAATTTCCATAAGAGACTTGATAACTGGAAAGGTCGGTTCCTCTTGTTGTGGACCAGAATAGTACTAATAAAGGCAACCTTAGCCAACATACCTATTTACTTCATGCCAATCTTCCACAACCCAGCAATTGTCGCCCTCGAAGCTTGAGAAACTCACATGCAACTTTCTACGGAGTAGTTTTGGATAGCAAAAAATACCACCTAGTAGCATGGAAGGAGGTATGTAAACCCCAAAAAGCAAGAAGTTGAGGCCTAACAATCTTGAAAGAAGCAAACATTGCCTCGTGGGGAAATGGAGGTGGAAATATTCCACAGAAGAGGACCAACGGTGGAAACAGGTGACACGCAGCATGAAGTTTGGGCATAACAATCTTAAGAGAAGCAAACATTTCCTCGTGGTGGTCGAGCATTTCTAGGAGCAGAGCCCCCGTTTTTGGCCAGGACTAGATTCAAACACGGGCAAGGGAACAGGGTCAAATTTTGGGACGTTTGATTGGGCATCTAAAACTTTGCTGACCAGTAGCCAGGTCCATACTCACTATCCTCAAACAAACTTGCCAAAGTCAGGGGCTATATAGACCTTGTTGAGGGCCAGTTGGTTTGGACCCACTGTTTAGAAGAGCTCTATCAGAAAATGAAGCCCAACTTTTTGTAGATTGCCAGCTATGCTTGCAATCTCTTTTCATTCCTATGGAGAGAGTCGACGAACTCATTTGGGCTACCTTGCCAAGAGGAGTCTTCACAGCCTCCTCTTGCTATTCCTTATTTCAGCCCCCCTCCTCCTATAACCAATTTTTGGTAAGATCTGGGCAGCCCCAGTCCAGCTCAAGATGAGGGCTTTTGCTTTGATTCTTGGGCACGGGAAAGTCCTCACTATTGATCAGCTAAAGAGAAGGGGGCTCCACATTCTCAACCGGTGCATCGTGAGTCAACAGGATGATGAAACAGCCTCCCATTTATTCCCCCATAGCCCTGTCATTTCTCCTCTTTGGATCAAATTTCTTAATCTCTTTGGTGTGCCTGGGGTCTATCCACAAACTTTGCAGCAACTTTTCCAAACGTAACACCCCTTTCTTAATCTCTTTGGTGTACCTTGGGTCTATCCACAAAACTTGCAGCAACATTTCCACACCTAACACCCCCCCCCCCCCCCTCTTCTTTTCCCAACATGGGGTGCAAAAATTTAGCAGGTCACTATTTTTGTGTTCCTATGAACAGTACGGCGAGAGGAACTCTCGCACCTTTCAAGGTCAAGTTCAACCTTTACCCTCTAGCCTTGATTGTACCAATCAAGGAAACCTTTACCCTCTAGCCTTGATTGTACCAAACAAGAAATCTACCTTTACGTACCAATTTGGGGACCTCCATCTCTCTCCAATTGGAGCAATATCATCCACTCAACGAATAGACCTACCCTCGTTCAGGTAAACTGAGCCCCGCTGCCACTGGGAATGTTAAATAGATCGGAAAACCAGGCCATTCTGGTTATGGGGGCACCATCTCTGACCACAATGGACAGATCCTCTTTTCCGGCTACATAGGTCACACCAACTCTACAACAGCCGAAACCATAGCTATCCTAGAAGGCCTGAAGCGAGCTTCTACCAAACTGAACAATATTCTGGACCATTCAGTAGAAGGAGATTATAGCAATGTTATTGCATAGGCAATTCTGAAATCTACACCTCCCTGGAGGCTAAACCATCTCTTTGACCACATTCACTCTATCTGAATGGGGCAGTGGGTTACATTCATGCACATCTCAAGAGAAGTCAATACAGTGGCCGAAAGTTTGGCCAAAGAGGGAGCCAACTTGCTCGCAGCTTGCAGCTGCCCAGTTTACTAGCTCTGCTACATCCTTTCCTCCCTCACCTCTACCATATCTCTTCTTCTCTTTTTCCTATACTCTCTCCTCTTGGGGAGGAGAAAAGCAGGAAGAGCCAGTCCTTATCCAGACTGTGAAAGGCATTGTCGACCCACGGGCTTTCCATGGGCCCTAAGGCAGAGAAATTAGTAGGGAGGTGGTACGGTCATTTCCATAAATATTTCTGCATTTCATTTCAGACATGCAAAGCACATTGCATCATTTGACTGACAAGGTTGACCTAATCTTGTAGGATGACTATAACTCACAAGGTTGACCTAATCTTGTAGCATGACCATTAAATTAGAAAAAGAGAAGGAATCAATACCCTTCCTTCAACATGCATGCCAGTCACGTGCATCCTAGCCCACATGCCAAAGCCGAATCTTTTCCTCAGCTTCACTCCAAGTATTGCGTCCATATCATTCCCAGAAAGGAAATTCATCCCCAACTCCATAATCTACATGAGGTAAGCGATGAAAGCACATATGATCAGATCAAAGAATGCCATCCATTGGTATTTACTTTGCATGTAGTAAAGAAAATGAGTAGATAAAAGATAAATTCATGACGACCTACCAAGTGGTCATCATCAGCTGACTGATTGACAACCCGGATCTCAGTGAACATGGGTGGGTTCCTACCTAGGTACAAATGCTGAATAACGGCCTTCTTCTATATATGTAAGACAATTGGGAAGAAGTTGTCAGTATACAACAATGAGAAGGAGAACAACCACATATATTTGTAGCAAAAAACTAGATAAACCAAAAAGCCAACAAATGTTAATGTAAATGCATATCTACAACAAATGTTAATGTAAATGCATATCTACTATCCACTAAGTAGAAGGCCTTGTCAGAGCATGTTCTACATCATACCTCGTTTAAACAACAAATAAATCAATAAATATTTCAAGTAACAGTTCATCTTTCTAAAAAATTCTCAAAAAGCAGAATTAGGCCAAAGTCATCCAGAGACTAGAAGGATAGCCTCCCAACTACCTCAGATCAGGATGGATGACAAGGATGGTTTTAAGGAAGGATTTTTACTAGTTGCAAAAGTTGGAGTGTAGAATTTGGACACAATAACAAAGTCTATGCAAAGGCTTTTCTTATTTTTGAATGGGCCATATTTGCATTGTATATGCTGAGTCTGACAAAATGAGAGAGAGTAGATTTAGGTGGGCTGGCCATGTGTGGCGCCGACCAAGTACAGCACCTGTAAAGAAGTGCGAGTTAGTTCAAGTGTAAGGACTGAAAATGGCAAGGGGTAGGCCTAAAAGGACGCGGTTGGAAGGTAGTCCGAAAAGACATGGGGACTTAAAGCCTCACTGAGGATATGACCTTTAATAGAGCAGAATGGAGAACTAGGATTCATGTGGCTGACCCCAATTAATTGGGGAAAGGCTAAAATGATGATGAAATATGTTGAGTCTGATATATAGCACATGTGATTGTTATAGGAAATTCAATAGTTGTGTGGTGACATTTACATGACAAGATTCAGAAAATTGCATGGACAGAGGCACATTTATATCACAGCCTACTAACTTGCGAATATTTAACATCTATGTAATATGATAGTAAGCTGAGGCATTTCTGGGCTAGTGTGCACCGATTAATGAAATGCAAAGAGAAAAGCACGAGTAAATGCTCAGTAACAACAAGTCCTTTTGTTTCAAGATATGATTTATGTGCATCTGCATAAGACACAAGGAGATGGTCAATCTATAGTAGTACCAAGAGCTCCACTTAAGGTGTACAAAATAAAAAAAAATTAATTCACTTCCCAAAGACTTTACAAGACACTTGTCTTCCACTAAATAACTTTCAATCACAAATTTACAATGATGAGTCTCTCTCCATTGCAACACTTTTCAGTTTTCAAGTGCGCATAAGTTTGATATGACTTTGAGAAGCCGATTTCTCAATCACCGCGCGACTTCCGCAACAGTTTCGGTAGAAACCTTGTTACTGTTCCTATTCGATTGCGCGAAAAGGATGGTATAGATCAAATCATGGGAAGCATAAACAACATGCCACAATAACAAATATTCATGCATCAAATATAGGCCAAAATGAACCTCATGTAGGAATCAAAACAATTGGAGCATTAGGTGGGAGAAACACGGCAAATCGGCTCAAACAGTGTAGTTTAGGAACCAGGGTTTGCTCTAGGTGTCTATACACCAAATACAATCAGAGGGGCACTAATCAATGTTTAAGGCACATCTCGAGCTCACTGTTATGCATGTAAAAGTTTACATTTACAGCAACACAAATATCAAAACAGTTTGGGAATAATATGCTCAAAACTACACCTTTAGAGGCATACCATAAAAACCCTTTAAATGCAACAATTAATGAGCTTCGAAGGAGAGAAGATAAGGTCAATATGCTTACTGTTATGTTCATTTACAAAAGTAAACTCCCTCCCAAAACAGAAGGTAGGTGTGTAGGGTGGTACATGAAGAGGCTCAAGAAAATGCTTCCGTAATAGAATCAAGACAATACCTCATCTCTCATTGTGGGGGTTTAAAGGCTCAAGATACAAGTAGGAGAGAGGTGAGAATGGGGCATGGCTCTCTAAGAGAGGCTCATAAATGAACAAAAGGGGTGACAGAGAATGGAGTTAATGAGGTAGGATAGGACCCCTTTTATAGAAGTTCAAAGTGTGGGCTTTATCATAGATTAGATATTGGCCATCCATTGAGCAATCCAAAGGTTGAGAGAGGCTAAGGACCTAGCCTAATCAACACCATTGGTAGCTACCATGTGAATGGTGATGATCAAACAAACCTTGATCACCATGCCTAAAAATCACCTCCAAATTTTCCATAATTCCCAACTCCACGGAAGTGGAGTCGATAGCACTTTTGGAAGGCCTCAAGCTTATCCAACCTTTCGGACTTGATTCCCTCACGATTGAGGGAGATTCCAAGAACATGATCACTTGGGCATCAAACTCTCCCCCCCCCCAAAAAACGCATTTGGCTCACTTTTTTTAGAGATTAACCACCTTTGCAGGGATCTGCTCGTCTTATGGAGGCACACTTGGAGGGAAGCAAACCAGGCGGCAGACACACTAGCTAAAGAAGAGGCAACTATGAAAGGTCTTTAGATTACTCTTTTTGGAACGGTGTCTTATTCTTGGTTGCTTTTGTATATCGTAACCTTCAATAAGAAGGCTTTTTGTTTCCTATTTTACTTTTTCAATCCTTGTATTTGGAGTTTCACTTTCTCAAAAAAAAAAAAAAAAATCCCACAATTACATGTATGCCCTTCAAACTCTAATTTGATTTTAAACAAATCATGACCATTCATTTTGAAATCATTTGATCCCATCCATTGGTTTCAAACCAATATGCAAGATTACATGAGTGGGGCATCCAACTCTCTCTCCCCATCCTCTCATATGATACTTGCAAGTTGCATGAGACGTCATTTTCAAGGGGGAGATGATATCATCACATGTCATAAGGTGTTCCCCTTATCCTTTCTCCACCAATCTCATACCAACGCCCATAAAAATCCATTCACCCACAAATCACATAATTTCTAATTCAAATACCCTTGGAAATTCAAAAATCCCAAACATACATGTATGCACACACAAGGCTTCACACGTGCCACAAAATTACACTTATCATAGTTATGTGAAAAACCAAACAAGACATATATGCCCAAACCCTCTAGGACTGTCAATGTCATGCCTGTAGGGCAATGACGTGTTAGTCTGGTGGGGCTCGAAGTGTGCCACACATTGGCCAATTGTGTGCCAAACACCACAAATGGGTATGTCCTTACTTGGAATTTCACACCAACTTCTTAAATAAGCCACTTTTCCTCAAAATAAAATTTTCAAAAATTCTCTAAAATCATGATAAATCATTTTTTATCATTTTCTATCAAAATAACACAGTTTGGCACTTCAGATAAATCCAATTAGGAAATTAGGATCCTTAAGGAGGTCAGGCGCTGGGCTAGATCCGAAAACCCATACAACTTTCTCAAATCAACCTGATAGGCCCTATATGCCACAATCTTAAGTCAAGATACACGATTGGACCTGTCAAAGCAAATCAATATGTGGTTGGATCTCTTGGTGTTCAATGGATTTCAGGTGTCCCGGGAGGACATGCACTCTTACAGATGCAGGGGTCCTCTCTCAACACGTGTGCGCAGTTATGATAGGTATATCTTACCTTATTAAAACGGCTTCCCAAAGGTGACTGTCTCGTGCACATAATTCAAGGATTTGGGCTTATGTCCTCTAAGAGCCCAGCTCAAAGTCAACTCACAAGGCTACAAAGAAAATATCACAAACAAACCAAGATCCAATGATCCCTAAGCCCTGGCTCACACCACATGAGGCACACACACACACACACCGATCCAAACTATAGGAAACCCTCAAACCTCTCGATTCATAACATGGCCCAAGAACCTCGCCACATGTAATCGAGGTTATTTAGGATTATTTTGATCCCAATCCCCAAAGATTCCAGCAGCCTCACTGTTCCTGGTCACTCCCATTATAGGAGTGACCAAGAACTATGTTGGCAACACACAAGGCCATAATTCCAACACAATCAAGATGTAGCAAAATAGATCCATCCCCCATTTGGAAGTGACAAGGAAAAGAATTTCTCCAAGTGATGTGAATATTTGATTTTAAGAGTTGTTAAAATAACTACATTTCCATAATGATAATTAGACATGTCAAGTGTAGAGTTGTACATTAGGTTCATCCAAATGGATAAAAATAAGAGTACTTATAACCACATATCAAAAGGACTAATTGCTAACCCTTAATGTTGACAATATGTCAGTATCTAAGAAGAAGCGCTAGGCGGCACCTAGGAGGTCGGGGGGGGTCCAGGCCGCCCAACCCCTAGGCGGGCGCCCAGAACCTGGGCGGCCCAATAGAAATTTTTTTTTTTTTGGGTTCTCTCTCTAAAATAACGTTTAATAGGTTTTAGGTTTCAAATGAACCAAAAATAGCCTCAATTTTTCCCCTTTCGTATTAAAAAAATGACCCAAAAATACCCTCAAGGAGCCGCATTTCGGCCCTTGGGAGGAGCACTGGTCCCTGGGCAGCTGCCTAAGCAAGGTCAGGCGGGTGCCCAAGAATATCTTCCTAATTTGGCTGCCTAGGCCTGGGCGATGCGCCTAGGTCTTCTACACCGCTTAGGCGGCCGCGCAAGCGCTGAGCGGTCTACTTTTTAAAACAATGCTAAGAAGAAACATATATGCCAAGTACCTTCACATATATCTACTGTGACAGTGAGAGAGGGTGTACAAGAAGCTTGAGAGACAATGAGAGGGGGTACAAGAAGCTTGAGAGACAATGAGAAGGGGGTACAAGAAGCTTGAGAGACAATGAGAAGGGGGTACAAGAAGCTTGAGAGAGAAGCATGGAGGAAGAGATTCCATCCCAAGGGTTTTATCCAAGCTGATTTAGTGGAAAGGAAACAAATCAAAAAAATACAAAAGTGTGACTTCTATCATTTAGGAAGACGGTTCCTGCTAGGGACTTCACTTTGAGCAACTATGAATATTATCCATATTATCGGTGGGATGGGTTCATTATTTTGCTAAATGCTCAAAAAAAGGAATAGCGCAAATAAATGTCTCAAAAGTGTTTATAGTTGTTATAAAATTTCATTAGGA